CCCCAAAACCCCAAAACCCCAAAACCCCAAAACCCCAAAACCTCTTTCCTAATTGACCGATCACTAAATCCATACATCTCTTCCCTAACTTATAAGCAATCGGGCTAATTTAAGGTCTCGGATAGGAACCTGAGCTTGGTTCAGGAGCCCACCAGATATTTCCGATCAGCCCATAGGCTCTACAAGCGATCATATATCTTCTTAAGGATAGAGTTATGGACTTGTCTCTTAGCCTGCATCCTAGAGAGCAAGTTCCTCCCTGCCTCTGCAGAACAGGCCATTTTGTTGGCAGGAAGAGCTGTATGAGGGGATTTGGAAGACAATTTTGTTATCCTGAAGGTTGAGGAAAAGCCTTACTTGTTCTGCTGGAATTTTTGGTACGTTATCTGAAAACTAGGCTTCATTTGTCTGTGAAGAGGGCTTAACAAAAATTGCCGTTTTGGATCTCCTGGTGATTTAAGTCTGTGCTTAGATTTTGACTTTATTGAAGAAATTGACTCCTCCAGGATGACTGATTTTTCCTAAATTTAGCAGTCTACCTTACTTTTATAAATTTTGTACGACTCATATTACCAATTTCTACTAATCAAAAGAGTAATTTACCAGCATTATATCCCTGTCTTGCATTACAAAAGGATTTTCGATTCTTAAGAACGAAGTTTCGTTTTGTGTTGACATTGGTTCTTGAACGTTCGAGATCTAGATTAACTAGTGTCATAAACTTACTGATCTTCTTTCTTAAATCTTTTCTTGAAGTCTTCACTTGTGTCTCTCTTTTATTTCTCTTTAATTCGACTTTCTTGCTTATTAATATTTGTGGGTTTCTAATGTTCTGTTAAAAATATTACTTTCAGACTGCAGAGTGTCTTTTTAGGCTGATTCTCCGATGGTTTCCACCGTCAAAACTTCCTCCAGATATCCTCTTGAGCATTTCCAGTGATTTATTTTTATCAGCTGGAACTAGGGATCCCTTTGACGATTTTCTAGGTAGTAATTACTTTATACTTACCCTTGAGAACTTTCTTCATTCAGGATATCAAGTCTGAGTTTTCTTATGGCTATATGGATTCCTAGTTAAGCTCTTACTCTTCTGTTTCATTTTATTTCCAAAATGATCTTTGAGACATGAACTTATCTAAACCTTAGAGCTGGTGGCTACCTCTTCTCCTGCGTTTTACTTGATTAGTAATTTTAGAATTCTCTTCCTTTTTTGAAATACTACCTTCACTATTTTTATGATTCTGCTCAAAGTAATCCCCTTTATCACAGTCTGGTGTCGCTCTCTATGAGATGATTCACCATAGGCTTACTCCTGAGTCAATCGATTCGATATCCTCCATTTGGGCATCATCTTCTTCTCTAAATTTTGCTACATTAATCATGAGTGAGGCTCTATCTTGTGATCTAAAAGTGTGCTCTAAACCATGATCTTTAATTTTACTCTTTACATTGAATCCTGTAGAACTCGAGCTATTCTCAATCTATAACAATACTCTACAAAGAATTTACAAGCTTGGTCCTGGCTCTATCTTTGCTAAAAGAGAAGCCCTTCTTGGAGAGATGGGGCATCTTTGAGTCAATTTTCTGTTTATTTCCTTCCTCTTAACGAGCAAAAAGCTCCAGAGTAACTTATAACTTTTCTAAAGGAGAAATCAAAGTTGTGAATAATTATTCAAGCTAAGTAAAAAGTTATAGTATCTTTAAGACTTAGAGTAATGGCGATAAGTTTCTTACTTTCGGTCAGACCCAGCCAACATGCTCTTCTTCTGAGGAGGGAATAGTCTGAGAGTCCTGAATGGTAGCAGCTGCCATTCTATTCAACCATTGTTATTGGAAAGTGAAAGAATCTAACACTACCTTTCTGCTTTCTTCTAATTCTCTTCGCATGCTTGATCATCTTTGTGAGAGAAGATTGGTTCGTCACAATTGCTTTGGCTATAAAACTTTTTTCTTCATATTTTACCTATAGACTCCCATCCTCGATTGTTTGTTTCTTCATAGTTTGGTGGAGGACAATCAAACTGGAGGGGATTTATCATCTTTACTCTCCTTGAGTCTTGACTATAACCAAGGTTATCAGCATGTTTTAAGTTCTAAACTTGGAGAAGTAGATATCTTACTTGTAAGAATTCAAGTACATCAATGAATAGATAAATATAAATTCTATAAATATTACATTGTTCGGGGTTTTGGGGTTTTGGGGTTTTGGGGATTTGGGGTTTTGGGG